TGCTGCAACAGGTACTACAATTTGGGGAGTCTTCAGCCATTGGTGCAAGTATCTGTACCACAGTCATTGGTAGTATGTCCACCCACAGACTACAGAGAACAGATTCTGCTATGGTGTGTTGATATAAGCAGCTTCTCATAAAGTACAATAGCTGTGATGGAGTCTTATCACCTCCACTGTTGTGAGTAAAAATTTCACAGAGTAACTCTTCATTGGATCATCCAGTCCTCTTGATAATTGCCCTTTTCAAATATGTGTATGGCTCTGTTTCCAGGACATTTTCAAGTATGTCCAGTACCTTGTTGACTATGTTTAGTGGCAGGGATTGCACCACATTGGCAAATCTGGATCTCTGGAAGATGATTCTCCAGGTGGTGAACATCGCTTCATGCTGCAGAAACCAATTTCTAATGTTGACTTCATTATATAGAGGTAGGTGGAGCAGGCAGGGGTGACTTTGTTTGATGCCATAGTGGATATACAATGTTGCCATGTCTATTGCATTGTGGTCACCACTAGTTGCAGGTAGTATATTGGCCCACAAACAGATATTGAACGATGGAAGATGACAATTAACAAAATAAAGACAAGTAAAAAAAAATATATTGTCATGCTAATTTTTGTTAAAGAAAATCTGTCGACAAAAATAATGTTACACTGCAGCACTAGGCAAAAAATATCTCTGCATGTTGTCAGTAACATTTTTTCCTGTGTAAATAATTCAAGAAAAAAATATATTAAAGAACATATTTCCCTGTTTTGTTCCATTTGAATGTGTGTTTATAACACATCTTTGATAATGCTATAAATTCAGCTTTGTCTTAGACAAAACAGAGCTAAAAATAAATGCCACAAATATTGCCTTGTGTCAGACAAAGTTTAGCAAATATGATATTATTTTCAAATAGTTGATTTTACTTAGAAATTGTTTCATAGCTATGCTTCAGTTAGCATATATAGTCAGTATCAACTGGTTGATTGGAACATATTAACAGTTAAAAAATAAGTAGAGTTTGTTTAAAGACTAAAGTGCTATTTGAATGATCTGATTGGAAGTAATTCTAACATGAATCATTGAACTTATCAAACTATTTTTCACATACCAAATTGTATGCAGCTAAAGTAATCAAGTGATTATAATTTTTTTCAAAGTTGAAATTTTGTTTACAAAATGGTTGTATTGTAGAGCATGTATTGGTGTATTGATTTTAACAATAGCATTGTTGGTTGGGAAATTGATTTTGTCACAAGCCATGACATGCCAGCTGTTCCATTGACAAAGATTATTTACTCATGCTATAAAATTTACAAGTATAACTACAAGTGGCAGTTTTATAACTTGACATAATTTCAGAAAGAGAAGGCTCACAGTCATATCATGTTGAAAAAAACAGTTCTTGTACAATCACTGCAGTTAAGCAACATCAAGCCTGGTCTGTAGCTAGATGGGTAATTGCATGGGAATACCAGGTACTGTAAGGTTGGATGTGCAGATGTTGTAATGGATAATGTCACAGAATTGGAAATCAGAGAGCTGAGTTCCAATTTCAGTGGGGTTTGTTATATTTACTTATATGCAAATACACTTGGGAAAGGTGTGAATCCACGTCTTCTCCTCCTGCTATGGGTTAATTAGTAGGACATTTATCAGTAAATTATCTCCAAAAAATTCTTACAATCTAAAAATATTTTCTGGCTTTAAATAACCTGCAAAAGGTTGATAAGCCAGAAAAAACAAATCAATTAAGAAAGAGAACCACAAGGAATCCCCCAGAATGTTTATTTTGTATATGCAAAATATTTTTCCAGTTTAGGATGCCATGAATAAAGGAATAATATGATAATTCATTCAGTTTATAAGATCATATAGAACAGTGGGAATATTTTTCTTTGCTAATTTTTTTTTTAATTATTTCACCCTAAGCAAGGAAATAATGTCACTAAGATGCAAGGGGGGTTACTGGGAGTGAAATAGAATAAGAAAACTTTAATGAGGAGAATAGACAATAAAAGAACAAGGTTTAGGAAGACAGAGATGGCGATCGACATTGCATTAAATTTTTTAAGATTGTAAGTGGCAGAAAAGCAAGAAATTGGAAGAGAGTTACATAGGTAAGAAGTGCATGAAAAGAAACTATTAGAATAGAAGATAGAAGATACAGTTACAACTACCTATTTCAACAATAAAACAATGAGACCTAATAGCCAATCTAGTAGTATGCTTAAATTCATGTAGTTGAAGTACCAAGGAGGAGAGTTCATTAGAACAACTGTCATGAAAATATTTATAGAAAAAATAGAGAGAAACTATGTTGTGGCAGTAGGAAAGTGACTGAAGTCACGATGCCAGATCAGAACCAATAAGATTACAGACCCTTTTTAGGAATTTGTCAAGAATCTCAAGATATATAGCTAGAGCACCAAACCAAATATGGCAGCAATATTTTAATTCCCATATAAAAGAAAATATTTCCAGAGATGTAAAATAATTTTGAAAATAAAGTAAATGTGATCTTATTGTCATCTAAAATGATGCGTTAACTGTCAGCAGATGTATAAATTAAATACTTCTCCGGTTGATAAGCCAAGATCTTTAAAAGAAAACTCTCAAATTTAGTTTTTAATTTTACTTTTTGGCATACTCATATATGTAAGAAACATATTTTTCAAATAATTTTAAAATTAAACTATATTATAGGAAGTTAGTTCATTGCATGATATTTTGAAGTCATATTTTATTGTATGCAATCCCTATTATTTCATTTTGTTATTTCTTTTGGCCACTCTGCCTTTTAAAAGGTTAAAACCATCATTTCTTTTATGTTATAAACTAGAGACTATTCTGGTGATACATTCTGTAATTTTCAAATGAGTCATTGTCACTTCAAAGTTGTTCACTTTATTGATTATCACTCTTTTTGCTTTTGTTATTATCTCAATATTTTGACCAATATATTTCCCACCCTTCATCAGCTGTAAAATCTGTATGGAAGAAGGTGATTTTCCAAATTAGTGTCTAATAATGGGTTGGTTAGTATATGTACTAATATTTTATCTTTTTCTGTATTGCAATTTCAAATGTTAAAAAAGAGGTGATTGGTAGTGACTCCGTCCTTCCATACAGATTATATGGCTGTTGGCTACTAAAATGGATCGGCTAAAATATAACAACAACAAAAGGAAAAAGTACAAAGATCAGTTGTCTTAAGAAATCTTCAAACTATTCTTATCAGTTTCATATGAAACAGGATTCTTTTTATTAAGAATGTAATTTCAAATTCTAAAAGAATATGGACTATGAATACAGATTTCTGAGGTCAGTTTTATTTTCAGAAAGACTAAAAGAGGTTCTGGTACATTGATATTTATATGGGTCATATCAGGCTCCAGAGTTTTTGGTGTTTATTGTTTAATCACAAACTGTTTAAAATGAAAACTGTTCTTCAGCAAAGGCAAAAAGGAAGTCATATTTTAAATCTGATTCATTTTCTCAAATATTTGATTTGTCAATTTATTATGAAGGCGAGAGAGAACATTTTATTTAATCAGAGACATCTATCTCTTCTTGGATCACTTTTTGTATATTACAACTGGTTTTAGATCTTATTCCAGTTGGTTGACATTGGGTTTTGTTTAATTTTCTTTCTTTCTAATGTTCTGAATTCTCCATTATGTATTTTTATGAGATTTTACTGAAATGAAAAAGTTATTTTTTTTACAGTCACCAACATTTGCACTTTTGAACAATTAACTGAATGATATGAATAGAAATATTTAGGCTGTTACTCATTTGTTTTTTGATTTGCTTAACTTTATGGGAAAAAGTATATTCAATATATATACATATGAAGGATCAAAGAATGTTCTCAGGCAGATTGTTAATATAAAGTAGAAAGATGGTAGGACCGAAGAGAGAGCTTTTGGGTATGTCAGCATTGATCTCATTTGCATTAGAGGACTGGCCATTAACAACAACCTTCATAAACTTACCCGATAGGAAAGACTTGATAACCAAGAGGACACTCCCATAAATTCCATAGCTGGCAAGTTTGTGTAGCAATCCCCTGTGATACACCTTTTCGAAAGTCTTGGGTGATGTTTTGGGTGATCACTCTAGATGTTTTTATTATCAACTGTTTCACTGATTCTCTCTGTGATGAAAGTTAATACATCTGTAATAAATGTAGAAGAGCGAAAACTGCAAGGTTGGCTTTGAGGACATGTATTTTAATAGCTTTAACTATTTTCTAACTTGGTCTGATTATCATTTCTTTTCAGATAAAGGATGACAAATATCAAACAAACACAGCAAATGAAAAGACATGCTGTAATTGTTGCCTTAAAGGCAGAGTATAGTGATTTTTGCTCACTTCCTGAAAGTTGCAAGGTCCTTTGTTGTTAAAGTTCACAAAGAGCTAGAAGCCACTGACAGGAATTCTACATAAGTAACCAAATGTAAAATGCCTATTAAGCAACCTAATGCCATCAGAACACTCAAATTTGTATGAAAGTTATTAATAAGGATCCCAGAAAGTTAATTAATATCATTGTTAAAGAGTTCAATGTTTCGAGGCACTCTTTCAAAAGAATTATGAATGAGGACTTTGATATGTAATGCAGAGAGGCCAATTCATGTCTGGAAAAATAACCATCTGAGCCACACAAAATGCTTCTTATGCAAGTTGAAACTTTGAGAGTCTGAAATGCTTTGGTTTTTCTCTAATGAGATAAACTTTGATCAGAACCAAAAGGTCAACCATAAGAATGACAGATGATTATTAAAAGGCCCTAAGGACATTCCAACAGTAATGCACATAAAGTTTCTGTCAGCTCATTTCTTTCTTCAGGGCTTAAGGGTCAATGCTACAGATGTTGAAGAGGGTTTTGAAGCATTGTATAGAGAGTGTGAGAAAAGGAAGATTGTACACCATTGCTTTGTTTTGCTTATTGTAGTCACTGACTTGATCAATAATTAGTGAATTTTGTTCTTTCTCTTTCAGAGTCAAGTAAAAGATTTTCTGGACAAGAAAAAAAATGGTGATCTTCTCATGCAAAAAAGAGCTGCAGTTATTGAGAATATATTGAAAAAGGTAAATAAAATCTAAACTTGAATTTTGATATTTAGAGGCTACCATAATATAAAAAGAACTTGAAAAAATCTTTAAATTGCCTACAGTCCATTAAAGTTCATTGAAAACAAATAGGAAAAATTCTAAATTGTAAGTAAAAACAAAAATATGTAAATGCACTCAAATAGTAAAAATATCCCAGAATAGAAGATTTATACATGAGAATAAATACCAAAAATGTAAGTATTAGAATTTAAAAAAATATAGAAAAATTAATTTCAGATGTTAATTTATTTGATTTGCTTATATAGGGTGTATCAAAAATACTTTAACAAATTTTAGGGGTGGGATCTTAACACCAAAACAAGGAAAAAGTCCATATGAACATATGTTTGCAAATCCTTCATTTTTGAGTTATTAAGTTTAAAGAAAATTTAGTCAATAGTGCTGTGTTGCCATGTAGACTAGATTACATTTGTCATTCATGTACATTTGGGGTTAGTCTGTCTTCAATGTTTAATGCGTATAGTAGTGAGTTAACTGAGAAGTGTTCTGTTTAACAATGGCAGGATTTTTATATCGTGAGCAGGCAGATATGATTTTTATATATGGCCATGCAAATGGTAATGGACGCGAAGCTGCATGGCTGTATCAGATTGTGTTTCCAGACTGAAGGCTGCTGAGTCATCCAACCTTTGTTGCAATTTATCATCACAATGCCAAGACAGGATCCATGGCACCACAAACTATGGATCAAGGAAGACTGAGATGATCCAGCTATCAACACATGTCAAGTGTCCCTAGCATGTTGTACATCTCCTAGTACTGCATGGAGGGTACTTCAAGAGCAGCTCCTGTATCTGTTTCATTTGCAATGTGTGCAGGGTCTTTCACCCTCCGATCACTCACAATGGGAGAACTTTTGCCAATGACTTATTGTGAAAACTGCCGATCTCTTGTTTGCCTCTTCAGATGGAAGAGATGGAATAACAAATTTACACAACTAAAATTTCTGGGTGGATTGGGATCCCCATAGTACAATACAGGCTAAATACCAGCACCAGTTTATGATTAATGTGTAGGCTGGAATTGTTGGTGACTGTCTGGTAGGTTCATATATTCTCCCATCACATCTTAGAAGAGCTGTCTACAGGAATTTTATTTTGAATACACTTCCAGATCTACCAGAGGATGTACCTCTGCTAATACAAAGATGCATGTGATTAATGCATGATGGGGCTCAAGCATTAGCTGATATCAACCATGAAAGATGGATAGGTGGGAGAGGTCTTGTTCCATGGTCTGCACATTCCCCCAACCTCAATCCTTTGGATTTTTTATCTGTTGGGCCACATAAAACAATTGGTTTATGAAGCAGACATTTAATAATACAGAGACACTTTATCAACATGTCATGGTGGCCTTGTAAACCTTTTGACACCATTTGAGAGTATTTGAAAGGGGGTTCTGTTAATCAGTGATCTGACAGGTGCATGGATGTGTAGAAGCAAATAGAGGACATTTTGGACATTTATTATAGGTTGTTGTGTTGAGATACATCGATGGCCTTTTGGACATATGTTTATATGGACATTTTACTTTGACGAACACACCCCTAAAGTTTGTAAAAGTATTTTTGATACAGCCTATATATATATATATATATATATATATATAATAAAGTTGCAAATATATATATATTGCAATGGAATCATATTTTTAAAAAATAATTATATATATATAATGAAGTTGCAAATATATATATATTTGGAACTTCATTATGGAGTTAGTATTATCAAAAGTTTTCAGAAAGACTGAAAAATGCTTGCTATCTGGATTGAATACATCCACTTGCAGATAAGACTGAAAAATCTGTTTATAGATAAGACTATAGTTTTCAGCATCAATATCTTTGGAGGCTAATTTCATTTCACTAGATCCAATTTTAAGATACCTGAGATCAGAAAAGGATCCAACTAAAAAAAGAATTGACCCATGAGAAATTTGGCCTGCTTCATTTATTTCTGAGATTGTTTAGAATCAATTAACTCTTTTTAGACCAAATATTTGATTAGATTTCAACTTCAGATTAAATACTTCAAAATATTCAAATAAATAATTATATTTAGTTATTGTTAATAAAATATTTCAAAATACTTATTTGTAAAATTTTATGAAAACAGACTATAGTTTCTCAATGCTTTGTACAAATATATGCATGAAAATATAGACAGAGAAAATGATACCTGTACATGAACAACCAAATTCCATTTATAAAGACATATAGGAAAGGTCAAAGTATATTAATTGATTCTGTTTCTTTAAAAATGTCATTTTAATGTAACATATACGTGCATGTATAAATAGTAAAGTTACTGTAATTTTCTTAACATTTTAATTCTCAGTTCATCTAATACATTTTCAATGAGAAACATGTACAAGACATTTTTTTATCCCACACCTAGTAAACTCTTGGGTCTCAGTGGCTTTACTACCTTGATTGAGATGAATTCAATTTTTAAAAAATGTATAAAGATGATTTTCATTGATAAAGTGATAATATTTATAAGAAAACTCTTAAAATAATTTTTAAATGATTTGCTTTGCAAATATATACTCATCTTTATGCATGCAATACATACAACAAATTTCATAAATTATTTCTTTGAAGAGAAGTTGAAAAATACTGAGGTACTTTTCAGATTTCCACTATATGTCATGAGTGGGAAGTTGCTAAGATCAACTACAGAGCAATTAATTAATCTATAAAAACTAATTGATAAATAAATAAAAACAATATCTTAAATGTGTTAGTAATATTTTGTTTTTTTCATCAGCAACAACACCTCTCTATTGAAATCAAAACTATACAAGTCCAAAAAATATTTATAAACTTAAATGGCCCATTGTCAAGTGTACAACAAAAGAAATAAAACAAAGAGAAGTAAAGAGAATGATAGAAGACCAACTAAATTTTATAGTAAGCAAAAAAAGTTCTATTATAATTTTACTGATTGGGTTAGTGGGCTAAAAAGTAACAAAGTAGTAAATGAACTACTCTGAAGCAGATTTCTGCAACAACTGACTTTGCCAGCCAACTCATTTAATTTTGGTGCCAATCAACGAATATGAATACCCAGATGAAAGGCTTTCAGATGTAAGATCATCTGATCACATCAAACAGTTCTTTGAAGTCTTTTATCTAAATGACTCAAAATTTGGAGAAGTTGCTTTCATAAAAATAGATTCTCTTAACACCTGTAGGGAGCTGTGTTTCTGATGAAAACAAATTCAGGAATAATTATTCTCCTTTCGTATTTTTCTGATGTAATCATAAATACATCAGAAAAAATACCACCACTCACTTATTAAGACAACTGACCCTACATCTGTCAAACCATAGCTCCATATGGACCCATTTAGAAAATTTGATACAGAACATACTCATTGGAAACACAAATATAATACATGCCTCTAGCTGTAAAAATCATCTAAAAATAATAAAAGACGTCATCTTAAAAGACAAAAAACAATTTTCAGTAACCTCAACTATGAACATGGCCACAATGTACTGGCCATATTTGGAAGTTAAAAAAGTATTTACCTTTTAACAACTTACACACTATTTACAATACCATGACCAAAATATTTGAAAATAGCTAATCAATTAGCTGCAAGAACACAGTTTGGCTTGTTCATTTTCTAGCCTTAATCAGGTGTATGAGACATCTGAAGAAAAGGTTTTAAATAATTTTGCATTATTTTTAATGCATTGCTATTGGACTGCTGACAAGGAGAAACTGTTGATATGATAGTTCTGTAGTTCTCCATTTGGATATGCAAAATTTGTCCAGAAATGATTCAGTCCCTTTGAATATTTTGAGACCTTGATATACATTAGTAATTAATCAGAGAGAAACTTATTGTACATGCATGGACAGACCCTCTCCTGTGAAGTTCCACAGTTTGTTGAGAGATGTGCCTATGAGTAAAGCTTGTGTACTGTGTGACTATTGCATTCACAATGATTAAGCATGTAGATTCTTCACATATCATGCAAGGTTTTTTTGATAAAATATAACATCATCCAAATGTGATACTTTGCAACCTCTGGCATTTCTAAAACCTAAAATCAACTTTGAAATGAAGTTTTAAAACTGTTGACAAGATTAAAGAGAATATGATGAGACAACTGATAGTGATTCCAGAAAAAGAGTTTGCAAGGGATGCTAGTAAAAATGTGGACAAGGGCTTTTGAACTGGAGTTGAAGTTTATCCTCTGTTTCTTGTTTAGGATTGCAATTTTGATTTCTTCTAAAGTTTACTTCAACTATATACTTCTAATGTCTCCACCTAAATCTCTGAAATTTTATTTACTATTCATTTCCATTTTTTCCTCAAGAGAAGTAGATAGGTTTGCCTATTGTCTGGTTCACATTCTTCGCTGGTCTTTTGCACAAGAATAGAAGTGTATCCCTTGTTTCTTGTTTAGGACTGGAGGGATAAATCTCTACTCCTGTTCAAAATATAGAGGGAAGAGTGTGAACCAGGGGAGAAACAAACATATCTACCCTATTGAGGAAATGTTTCTGGTAAACTCTAAAGTCTTTTCACCATTATTCACTTTTGCTGGCCCATAGCATCTTGGTGGCATTATCATCTTGCTTGGGGTGGTGCCTCTTACTCTGTAACCTTCTCTATCATGTGGCTTTTTAGTCTTGTACAGAGGGAACATCATTGTGAAAAAAGATCCACATTTTTTAACTTGAATTTATACCTTGTTTCTTGATTAGGACTGGGTTTCTGGTTCCTTCAAAAATCTTTTCCCTCTCTTTCATTTCCCCGTTGCCTCTTGCTGGCATTACCTCCTTGTTTGGGGTGGTGACTTTACTCTGTAACCTTCTCCCTCAAGTAACATTTTAGTTTGGTACAGGGGGAAAATCATTGTAAAAAAAAGATCCATATATTTTAACTTGAATTTATCCCTTGTTTCCTGATTAGGATTGGGTTTCCAGTTCCTTCTAAAGTCTTTTTCTTCTCTCTCTCAATCTTTCACTCTCTCTCTCTCTCTCAATCTTGCTTTCTCTCTCTCTAAGTAAGAGAAATTAAAGAGAGAAAGAGTAAGAGAGATTGAGGAGGTAAGAAAAATTAAAGCAGACAATGTGAATTATAGTTTAAGATGGTGACTATGTACTTGTAAAATCACTTTAATCCATAAAGGCAAGGATGTTTAAACAAATGAAAGCAGATAAGAGACATATTTCTGAATTTTATAGATTTCTGCAATTTCGTCTTTGAATTTCCAAAGGATTTCAGTGTCATAATCACAAATACTTTTCACTTTTCTTGACACTTTATAATGTAAGTCTGTGAAATTGTACTTTTCTAGAATTCTTGACAGTAACAAGGAAAGTGATTCAGTTATTGAAGCGTTTTTAATGGGTGAGTTATACTCCTTTCCCCCATAACAACCTTTGTCTTTCTTATTTGTCTTTTGTGGTTGTTATAAAATTTGTAACCTTCCCCCTTGAGTGGCTTTTTAGTCTTGTACAGGGTGACCAGATCTAAACCCTATTCTGTATTTATAGGGTATGTTACAGACCTCACTAAATTGCCCTGCAACCCATTGCTAAACAACCCTGGAATGACTCAGAACCTCATTGATTCATGTTGTATAGCTGCCATTATTCAAGCAAAGCAAGAAGAGCTTCTTGTTAATTAAAAATCTTTTCAATTTAATTTATTGCATTTGTTTCCAGAATATTTGCTCATATGCAATAAGGTTTTTATAAATAGCGAAATATATGCAAAATATATGTATATTATATGTTTTTTGAACAAAAAGGTAGAAATCACTTTCTCATATTTCCATTTTCAGGCATATTTCCATTTTCAGGCATATTTCTCTATGAAGGCTTTATAATATAATATTATATATGATAAGTATAATAATATCATAAATTTTCGACTATTAAATGCAGAGTTGTATTGCCATTACTTTGTGTTGGTTTCAATCTTGTTTGAATGATTGTTAAGAACATTCACTCCGAAAATCTTTAGACATATCCTACAGATGAATGCCAGGATTTCTTTCTAACCAATAAAAATGGACAATTCTCGATCTTATTCCTTCATATTTTTGTTCTTTCTTATCTTGAAGTCAGAATGCTATAATCACTTGATTGTATCCCTTTTGTGTGTGAACACATTTCTTACTTTGTGAACATTTTACCTTATTCCTGTTGCTTTGCCTAGTTTTGATTTTCTTATATAATTGTTTACTTAATATTATTTTGCCTATCAGTTATTTTTCTTCTTTTTTGTATTGTTTATTGAGAACTTTGTCAATTCCACTTAACCATGTTCAATTATGCCACACATTGCCACAATTCTTAACCCAAATTTTATTTCTTAATGGGATGATTTATGGTTTTAAAATTAAACATTAAAGTATCCTGGAGCCAATATTGATATTTATTGATATTGAATATCATTTTATAGTGCATAAAAAAATATTGTCAATAATTTATAAGTTGATTTATACTTTTTCTCCTCCTTGTAGGTTGAGCTGACAGTGGTTAATGATGGACTGGTTCATTTTGGAAATATAATTCAGTTGAGATGTGCTGGAGATGAAGTTCCCAAGATCACTGGGAAGAATCGTCAAACCTCTGTTTTGGCTGCTCATTGTAGCATTGATGTAATGAGTCAGGATGCAAAATTGGCACATCCTTGCAAAGTGACCAGTTGTCGTGATTTGATTCCCAATGTAAGAAGCTGCTTTGTAATTACCAGGTAGGTTTCTGCATTTTAGAGCCTCTTTTCATGGGGTCACCTTAAAAGTAGTTTAGGGAAATAAGGACTGAATAAATGGCATCTCTTTTATAACAATATATTCACACCACTGAGACAACTTGATATTAACTGAAATTAAGTCTACTTTTTGTTTGTCTTTTCTATTGAAAAAAAACATTTCTTTGACTTTTTACATCATCATGTATTATTTTGACAGTTTTTACATTAGTATCTCGCTATCTACATATGACTTGAAAGTGATTTTTCTTTTTGCACTTATTACATGTCTGACCACATGCTAGACATTTCTCTCTCTTTGATTCATGTTTATAGTTGCAATATCTGCATTTTATCATTGTTCTTTTCATTGCACATGTGTCCATGAAGCTCAGGGTGGTTTTCATTTGTATGAATTTTTTCAAGTAACTCCTCTTGTTGTATGAAGTCAATACAAGCTTCTAAAGTCATTTGGTTTCTCTGTAACTGCTCTAAAATTTGTACTCTATAAGAGGGTGTTGTACAGTCCTTCTACCAATCAGAGTTGAATTAATTCTTCCTCTGTGATTATTCCTTGTTGTCTTAGTTCATGAAATTCAAAATATCTGTTGGTATCTCTTAACCTTCTTATAGGCTCCCCAAATTCTTGTCTCAATGATAAGAATTTGGTTTGTTCAGCTATGACTAATCTTTTCTTTGGTTGAATATTTCTCAATATTATTTCTTTGAATCCTTTCCAATTTTAGCCAGGCAAAACATTAATGAAATCTGCCTTATGGCTTTGCATGCCACAGTGGGCAAAAATAGATCTGTGATATCTTTCTGTCCTTCAGGTGTTTGGTCATCTCATAACTTCTTTATTCTGGCACGTGTCTCAAAGCATTTTATCCAAATCTTTACGCTTTCAGCTTCTTCTGTGTTCAACAGAGCTCCATCAGGCAACAACATTTTATGATGATGCTCAGATTTAGTAGCCATAGATATTCTACATACCAAAAACCAAAGTTGCTCATGAGTTATAGTTGTAACTCTCTTTATGCTAATTACCTATTAGCTAAACCAATCCCATTACACATAAATTCTTCCTGGAACTGTTTACTAAGAACATATACATCCCTCCTCACACACACACACAGTACAACATTTGATACTGTTCAAAACACCCCATGACATAAAATAAGGATGATTGCTTAAAATTATATTTTTTTATTTAATTGGTATCACTCCAAGAAAGGCAGTACAGCCACTAGCATGAAAGGGGTTATGGGGACACACAAAGTAAAAATAATTAATATTAGTAAGGACCTGTCCAAGAAAAAAAGAAATCAGGAGGACAGTGATAGCGATTGACAATTTAAATTTTTGTAGATTAAAGAGGGATGGAAAAAATGGATGGACATGGAGAAACTGACCCAGTCAAAAGAACTGTTAGCAAAAAAGTTATGGGGATGTTAGGAAGCTCAACTGTAAATTGATGAAAGAAGAACCCAGGAACTTGGCCTGAAACAATTTATATAAAACTAGGTACACAAGAATCTCATCTGAACAATTACCATGAAAATATTTACAAAAAAAGGCTGACAGAGAGAAAACCTTACAGCAATGGATAAGTGACCAAGCTGAGCAATCAGATCAGGACTAATAATATTGTTGATTCTTCTATTGGATCTTATCATCCTGAGCTCCAGGTAAATAGCAGGACCAGATCCATGAAAATATATGGCAGCAATATTTGACCCATTGATGATGGGGGTAGACTTGTAGATATGCAAGACAAGTTTTGGAGAGCAAAAATGTTTTGCCCAACACAGTGAACTCATGACTTTCTTATCAGCTGACCTAGCAGTGGATTCAATATAGTCGTTTCCACTTCATGTCAGCTGAGAGCATTAGCCCGAGAAGGCACAATGAAAGGCTTGAACTGACCATGACCAAGAAGGCACAACAATTGACGGAGGATAGCAGGGAATGATGATGGATCCCAGAAAGATGATTAATGGAGAGAAGTTTAGTTTGGAGTAATTAAAAGAAAGCCATCTTTTATCCAAGTTAACGATGGACTTGAAGTCATTTTGGACATGAGCTGCCATTTTTTCTTCAGCTGGATTGGATCAAACCATACTCTGAGAATGTAAACAGGACTGTCATCAAGCAAATGTCCAAGAAGAGCTGATGTCATCTTCCAGGCATTAATGAAAATTAAAAACTTGTGGTTAAGGATGGACCTGGGGACACTCACGTTAGTATTGAATTTAGACAGGTGGCCATTCAAGGATAATGCTGGATTTGACTGATTTGAGAATAAAAAATTGGATCAGTTCAAAAACCCTGTCTGGAGACCCTTTAATTTTAGCAATTCCATGAAGACCTGGTATGCTAAACCCTCTCAAAGCTGGTTTTTGATATGTCCAATGCCAAAGCCCAGGCTTCACAGTTTTTATCTAGAGCATGATAGACTCTGGGGACAATTATCATGAGCACATCAGCAGTTCACCTGGAGGATAAAGCTGTATCTTGTCTGAGAAAAAGGCCCTGTGATTTGAAATGATGAACCAATTAATCCATTGATTAGAGCCTCCTGGGATCTATTCCAAAAACCAGAAGGTTAATTCTAGGTCAATAAGTTGGATGGGTTGGATGTCCTCAAAGAGTTATAAAAAATCTAGAAGTAGATGAGGACTTCCAGCAAGCAGGAAAGCGGGAGGCAGGGAGGCATTTACAAGTACAGTGGTAGAGAGAACTAAGAGTGGATTTGGAACAATCTAGTAGAGATTTATGACTATTACAGGGATAACATTCTATCCAGGTAGTTTTGGGTAAGAATCTAGGTCAGTGATGATCCCATCCCCTCTCTGGAAGGGATTGACCTGGTATCTATTGACAAGACCAAACTTGTTGATCACATCAACCAACGTACGATCACCCAACTTCCCGATGAGTCCTGCCCACTGTTTAAGGGGTCCAAGGGAAAATCCCCATTAAGACTAAGTGCATTAAAGCCACCAGGAACAGCCCAAATTGTTGATTAGCAAGAACTCCTCCCAGTTACCGGTATATAAACTGCAATGATCCAAAATGAACTACTTTTCACAGTGATATCAGATACAATCAAATGCCCTTGGCATCAACAGGGACAAAAGTCCTCCTTTGCATCTTGCTTACACTTAACCAGCAAAGAAATGAATCTGGCCAGTTGGTCCCCACATGCTAAATAGATGGCTGGTATAGCTGAAAATAGTGGTTTCAAATGCAAATTGAGTGATCTGATTCATGGCAACATGGTGAAAGGTCAGGTTTCACCTGGCAGCCTGAGAAGCGATGAAAGTGTTCATACCCTTTGCATTCAGAAGAAACTATCTTGATGTAATTTTTTAAATCTGAGTTGAAAAAAAAGTTCAAAAAAAGGGCATTCACATAAAAAATGAAAGCCCCAATGAGGACCCTGACTGATTTTTATAGGATTCTCTATTCCTGTTTAATGATGTCATGAAGAACAATACTGCCAATGTCCATGGTATATGTTAGCTTTAAGGCCCTGTACAGAGGAGGTAAGAAATAACCCAAGTAGAGAAAAATCTTAAGTTTGGCTTTAAAACTGGTGTATGGAAGTCCATGATTGAAAAAAGGAATCTTTGGGCATAATGGAAACTTTTTAATATTTCCCCATGTCCCTAATACAAGCAATCACTCCCAGGTTTTTATATATTTCAGCCATTTCCCAGCAACAAAAGCGACTTTCAAAGGAGATCCAGGAGAGGGCCAGATGGATTGAAAGGTCCTCTCTACTGCCTTTTCTATCAACTTTACAAATACTGCAGTCCTTGGACAAGTGGGAGCAATAAGGAAAAAAGTGATAGCTGGGGTAGGGAGATTTGGACTGTTGGGAGGGGGGATGCACATGTAGATGGTGAAGAGAAGAAACTCCTTGCCTTGGGAACTGAATTTTATTCCAGATGTAACAGGGAAAGGCCATGTATGTGAAATTTGAATTTCCTTTTTCCTGCTTTGGGCAAGATAGCCTCTCTTTTTTAGTTGATTTCCTCCTGAAGATAGGACCATTCCAGGAGAAAAGATTCATCTCAGAATCTGATCCCCAAATATTTCTGAAGTTGTTGTTCCTGTAGTTGTTGGCCTTTTGGTTTAGTTGTGTTTTTTTTGATGTTTTTTCCATGTTGTATCTTTTTTGAGGAAAGAGAAAAAGACCAGCATGTTGTTATCTGTTGTCAATGCAATACAAACCAGCCAGTGTATCTTTCTAGAGCTTGTTGTTGAAGACTTTTTTGCCCATCTGAGACAGCTGAGAAATACCTTTTCAGGATCTGGCCTCTCCTGGGGTTGTTGTTGTTTATGCAGCCTCCTGTTGATCGGGGGAGGTGCCTCTGGAGACTCTACAAAAGAGTTTCTTCTATCTCCTCCAAACACCAGCAGTAGGGCCCCTCACAATTGACCATGACAAGCCACTGGTTAGTGTCATTACCAAAAAGTAAAAGTCAATTAAATCATTGTGGTCCTGGTTGAAGAAAGACAGAGAACTGGTAAACCATATCCTTATCAGGAAACAAGGAATGAACCTCTAATCCTGTTGAATAGGCATGGAAGAAGTGTGGGCCAGATGATAGGAGAACCTATCTACTCCTATTAATCTGTAAAAAAGAAAAAGAAAACACATAAAATACTAGTGAGTTCATATTAAGTTATGATTTAATAAAGTTTTGATGTCTACTACCAACTAAAAAAATCAGGATGTTAAAACTTAGTTCACTCTTTGTCATGTCAATTTCTCAGCATTGATAATCAACAGTAGGTGAGCACATTCTAAATTAACCAAATTGGGGGAAAGTGTTGAGGTAAGAAGTTTGATAATTAATAGCAAGGGGGGAGAACAAAATATGCACATCACAAGGAAGGATAGGTGAAAACATTAGAAACAAAAGCAACTAAACAAATAAAAAATTCAATTAAAATTTAAAGAATGACACAGACATTTAAACCATCTACAACAA